ATTAGGACTACTACAGATTTGGCCAGTATAAGGAAAACATAGTTCTTTAATAAAACCAGAAAACTTTTTCTCCAAGACTGTGTATTAACCATAGTAAGCATTTTGACTTAAGTGAAGAGAAACTGGAAGTTTATTACAGAATCCTAAAATTCCATTGATCATCTGTCTTCTATCTATCTCTACATACATATATAATGTTCTCTTAATTAGTAATACTGTGGCATTCTTAATTCATCCTCTTGTTGACATAGATTTCTGAGTTAAAAAGCTCTTGGGTATTTCTCAGATAGATACATACCCCTCAAGACAGACAGCCCCTTCCTGTCTGTCATGATTGGTCCCAGTGTCTCCCATGGGGCCTCACAGGTGACAGTCTGTTACTCATCTCCCACAGATTAAAACTCTCTTTCCCCAGAGTTGATGTAGAGAATGGTTCTGGAGCAGTTTCTGTCCCTCCCACGACAGCTGCTGTCCTCCTCCAAGACCGTATTCGCGGGGCTCACCGCCCTGTTCTGTGAGCTTCTGTTGGGGTTCACAAGGAAGAGGCAAGCAAGAGGGTGTGTCATTATCCGTAGCCACCAGGGCTTCATCCTCCTCTGCCAGCCTGTTCTTGGTAATTCAGCTACTCTAGCAGAATTCTTCCTTCCAGCATGATGTGCCCTTTGTTCCTTTAACACAGTGTTTGCTCCCCATACCTTTCTACAGGACTCGATATCTCTTTAGATTTGGGGTTATTTGGCTCCTCTGAAATGTCAGATCTGTGATTGGTTGGAGCAAAGTCACTAACATGCATTTTGTCTTGAATTTTTGAAGGGGCAGGGGGGAAGTGCGGAGTGAATATATTTCCAACTGTATATATATTCCGTAGATGAAACCAAAAGTGAATGTACGCCATGAATCCTGCCTTTTAAATCAGAACTTAAAACATTTACATTGTTTAAACATTTGAAATTATTCTACTTTCATAATAGCATTCTACAAATGCATATTTTCACATTAGAAATAATATGAAGTCGTATTAGAATACAAAATCATATTATAAATAATTAGAAATAAGTATAAACACTAAAGAGAAATTTTTCATAAATGAGACACTAGGAGTCAAAATATTGCGCCAGGTTCTTTACTCCCTGGTCAGATATGATATAATTATATTTCAACATGCTTGTAAGAAGTAAAGATTTTTCTCATTTTAGGAAGTTTCCTTTTTTAGCATAGTTCCAGGAGTGAAAACTTTGCTGGTGGCTGGGCATACAGTGAAGAAATAGCCATATGATAAAGGCATACATACTAATACAGGTGAGACTTGATTGATGTTAATACTCCACATAAACCTCTGAAAGTACCTTAACACAGTTTGAATTATCCAACAAAATTTTAATAACGAGAAACAAAGAAGAATCTGGGTAAGTAGCATCAAAAGAAAAATGAGAAAAATCGTAAGCCTCACAAATAAAATACACTATATTCAAGCAGAGCATTCTAACTATCCAAATAATATATTCTCCAAAGAATATTGATTTCCCTTTCCAACTACCCATTTTTTCTTTGAGTTTTGTGCATAGAGGCAATTATAATTTAGATTGTTTTTAGTCTTTTGGGACCAAGGAGAAATATCTGAATGCAGAAATGTACTCTTTATTTGCTCATAAATTGGTTTGTTTTACAACCTTATCTTTCCCTCTGACTCATTGTATAGGTAAATTTAAGTGCATGCTGCAATATTTCCCCAAAATCCTTTAATTCAAATTCCTAGAGGTAATATATATTTCAAACAGGGTCCTCTTTTAAGGAAAATAATTGTCTATTAGAAAAATGTGCTAATTTTTTGATCCAGATGCCGTATTATCTTTAAATATTATGTATTTAGAATTTAGCATAGGCAAAGACATCTACATATTTTGCATTTTATAAACCTAATTGCTATTTTATAATTGTATTATTTTAAACATATTGAAAAATATATAAGAATTTAAATAACATGGTATAAATTTAAATTAAACAAGATATGAAAAACCAATGCCTACATACATATGTTTAACATCTTAGTTAATATATTGAGTACTTATATGTACACTAAAGTCTACAGACCAACACTCTATCCACTGAGCCAAACCAGCCAGTGCTCATTTCTAAAATAATCCAAAAATGTTAGTCAGTTAATATCATCCTGATTTTACAGATGATGAGATTAAGGCATGGAAGATTCAAGGCCACCTAATTAATAAATGTTAAGGTCATGATTTAATTCCAGCTCATTTATCACTAATGTCTATATTTTTAATTACACAGTTATAAAGCTTTAATGAATTTTTGTCCAAGAAAAGAGAAAAATAGTATAATGGATTTTAATTCACACAGAATTCACATTACACACACCCCTTCAGAAATAATTTAGTCATAATAAAATCAATTTTTAGTGAAGTTAGAGGAAGCTTCAGGTTTAATATATGTTTTATTTAAATGTTTCCAACAGCATTCCTTTTGAAGGCTCCATACTCTGTTTACTTCTTCATTTTAAATCAGTGTTGTGTAGATGATGGGGTAGGATAAAGATACATTTTATTGATCAATGTTTTTAATGCTTAGTGTTTAATAAAAGTCTTTTATCTTCAAGGAGTATTGGAAATTGGAGAGATTCGGGCATTAGTCATTGACATTTCACTCATGTTGCCTTTAGGTAAACAAAGGCATATATAAATTCCCCCACAGAAGCATTCACTTTCTGACTTCACTAGATTTTCTGTTAGAAGTTGGCCCTTTGCACTTCCTTGAATTGATCAAATTCCTTTATGGCTATCACCTTTCCTCTTTCTGTTCCCTCTTTCTGGAATTCCCTTTCTGTAGGTTCTGATTCATTCATTTCCTAAAATATACCCTTGTTCCCAACTCAATGTCTTTCTTACCCGATGTTTAAATTTATTCATTATAATTGACATAACCTTAGATGATAAAGAAAGTTCATGAATTGTTTCCTTCACCTCATTGTAAACTCCATGAGTGCAGGGACAGTATGTGCCTTCCTTACCTCTCTGGACCTAGTGCCTAGAATAGGACCTACCACACAGGAAATGCCTAATTAATACTTGCTGAAGAAATCAATAAAAGCTCAGTGTTTGACACTGAAGTGGGCCCAAATAATGATATTTCCTCCCTTTTAGAAAAGATCAGGAGAAATGAAAATACTTAATTTAGTGAACAAGCCACAAAACTGTTGAATCACCCCCTTTCATTTTATTGAGTGGGTAGATTTGGGGGGGGGCATTTTCCATCTGACTTTATTTTCAAATATACTTTATTTTTTATAAAGACCAATACACTGTGGGGATGACAAATGTCAGTGTTAGGAAATCCAATTATATAAAAAATACTACATCTAGTTTGGTGTTGAAATATTTATTTTTTTGTAACATACATTAAGTTGCACTAATTACACAGTAACTATAAGGTGACTAACACGAACGCACAGGGCTGTAACTTTGCTGCAGCTGTGTGATCGTGGGCCTTTCTGGCTGAGCACGTCGTTTTGGAGAATTGGATGCCACTCCAGAGGTATGACAATGAAATCTGTTCAGAATAAAATTCCCAAGTGGTGAGTCACCAGGGTACCTTGTAGCTGACAGATGACTGGCAAGACATGTTAGTTATGAAGTAGTTACAAAAGTTACCATTTCTCTTTGTAGAAAGAAGCAGAAGCTAAGGAATTCCTTGAATTAGCACCTGGTGTGCCAGGAGGGAGTGCAGAGGAGGGCTGTCAGAGAGGTGTCAGAAGGACCCTGGTGGGTCAGGTGGGTTGGACATCTATAATAACAAAAGCATGATATGCTGATTAGACTGATGTCCTTTAGGATTTCTTTCCTTCTGGACAAAGCTGCAGTGGGTGGGGGCCGAGGCAGAGGCAGCAGATGGGCAGGGTGGCGGTGGCGGTGGGCAGGGGTTGGGGCCAAGGCCTTTGCACGAATTTCGTGCATTGGGCCTCTAGTCATTAATAATCACGCTTGGCTTCTAAATACTGGTAGCCAACCTCCCATGCTGCTGCTGAAGACACCCATGTCCTAATCTCTGGAACCTGGCGTTATGTCATTTTACATTATAGAGGGATTTTCCAGAAAGAGTCAAGGTTATAAACCTCAAGTAGAGGAGAATTATCCTGAATCATCTGGTTGGGCCCCATATCATCACATGGGTTCTTAAAATGGAAGAGAGAGGCAGAAGTATCAGTCAGAGAGAACAGAGGAAGAAGAACAGGGGCTATTTAGAAAATGAGAGGGATTTGCTCAACCATTGCTTACTTTGAAAAATGAAGATAGCTGTGATCCAGGGAGCACACACAGTCTTCAGAAGCTGAGAATGACCCTTAGCCAAATGCCAGGAAGCTATGAGGACCTCAGTCCTACCAACTGGATTCTGCTATCAGCCTGCATGGATCTGAAAGTGGATTTATCATCAGAGGCCAGTGCCGGAAGCTGGTCCATCCTTGCTGCTTGACACAGTTGCTTCAGGGAAGAAACATCTGCACAGCATATGTTTCAAGGGATCTGGCATATATGGCATACTGTTCTTAATATGTTTGCTCCCCTTCTTAGCGCTATGTACAAGCGCCCTACCTTTGGAATAGAATGGATAGGATTAAAATCAACTGGTATAAACACAGGACAATAAATACCGAACCTGGCTAGAGAACCTGGCTATGCTGATCAGTTCAACGCTGTCTCTGTGTCATTCCTTCTTCGCCGACTCCATCCACACCTTTGGGAGCCCCTGGACCTGCTGGGGCTGGACCCCAACATCTGGCACCTGAACAGCGGGCACACTGTTATCACACTGTACCTAATGGCTTCTGGGTTCATCAGTATCCTCCCAATGATGATCATTTTATCAAAGTGATGGCTTTGAAAGAACACACAAACTTCTCACCTTTAGAGTCCCTCACATATTGTTGACACATTAGGCAGTTAGTAAAAAATCATCTATTGTGATTAATGCTTTCATTTCTGTACAGTTCCCCTTCAAGAAATTCACCCACCAACTCATGACTACAAAGCCTCAATGCACCCAATTATATAATTTAGTTACCAATGCTGAATGTTTTGTGTTTACACATGCATTACCACAGAAAACACAAAATCCTACTTACAACCTGCTTTTGTTTCTTTAAAACTATTTATATATTTATATAGTTTACTTAAATGCACAGAGTTAACCTGGAGCAGAGTCTGAATTGTAACCCAAGCACTCTAATTATTGGATACAGTTCTTATGGGACAACAAAAATAATCATGAGTCCTATAGATATAACAATAAATAAATAAACAAAACAAAAACAAAACATCTTTCTGACATTTTCCTTTAGTTTCAGCTGTTGGGAGGGACATTTATCCACTCAAGTGGGTTAGGAGAAAGGAGATTTCCTGGGAGAAAAATCTGATATTCCAGAATAAAACCAGCACATTTATTTTTCTTTTTTTAAGTAGTGGTGCTGCCACTTAAATAATCATCAGCTTTATCAAGGATCAAGAAGCTTGCTAAAAATAAGAATCTAAAAAGGTTAATCAATAAATAAAAGTAAGAAAATTCTGACCCCACTTTGAAGTGCAGAATCAAATTCCAGGCCTGTTAGAACAAGGTGTCTATATTTTTAACAAATACTTTAAGAGTCAATAGCAGAGATAAAATATGCTGGTAGATCTTTTTATAATTCACATTAAACACCATTTGCTAAATGAACATCTGTTGTACAATCTCATGAAATTAGCATAGAAATTAAAAATTTTCTCAATGAAAATATATAATTTTTATACTGATTTGAATGCTGCATCACTATGTTTTTTATCAATATTTCTTGGAATGAGCATGTTGGGAATTATCCTGAAGATCTAAATTATCTTGAAGATCATGCTGCATTAGTCTAACAAACAATAACAGTTATTGGCCTTGAACCCGAACCCTATAATATGTTAATGGAAGATGTATCATCAAGATAAGAAAGTATTTGCTTCCTTGTAGCTACATAAAAGTGGATACTATTCTTCATAATTTAAACATACTTAAATGCTATTTGTAATAGAGGAGTTTTGTAGGATACCTGGAATTTAGATACTATACAATGGTAATTAATCTCTAAAATATCCATGATTATCTTTAAATGTTTAATTAAATTATGTATAAACTGTAATAATATATAAACTAACAACTCTGTTTTCCCTAGTAAGCATATTTTAGTGTTTTATTATTAAATCATAAGAGCATTATTATTTCCTCTTTAATGACACTTATTAAGGTAATAAACCTATGCTATATGTTTCATTTAAACAAAAGCTTGAGGGTTTTGGCTCTTACTAATAAACATTTTTAATAACTTTATGTTAGGGATCCTGCTTACAAAATATCCATTGATGTAGTAAAAGAATTTATTTAACTTTATATTTATTTATAAGTGTATTTCTAGTAAACTAATAAAGTATTCTTGCTATATCTTTTAAAACCTGTAGATTATCTAAATTGCAGGACCTACTCATGAATAAATCAAAAGAAGGCAGAACAAAACACAGAAACAAACAGAAAAAGCTGTTGGGGGGTGTTGCTTAGGTGTGTGTCCATACTACTTTTATTAAACAGTCCGTGTCTGCACACTTTATGACATACAAAAGGCTAGAGAACCTGTGGTTCACACCTCTGTGAACGTGAGACTATGAAATAATTATTTCTGACAGGCTCTCCAGTGAGGGGAAGACAGCTTGACAGGTACACACAGATTCCACTGTAGCACTCAGTTCCAGCAAAGGAGTGATACCTTTTGTGGTTCCGTGTTAACAAGGAGTATTATGGTACCTGATTTACCTATAATAAGCTAAATTCGATTAGGCAAAACATTAAACTGTTAAAATTAGTATGTATTTGAAACATTTTATTGAATGGATTTTACAATGCTATGAAATTGCTCTCAAATCACATCTTTTCAAATTAAGGAAAATACAGAATCTCTATTTGCCCTAACCTTTATTTAATTTACATCTTTAATGATACTGTTAGATGAAATATTCCAACTCACCCCTTGTTGAAGAAATTAGAAATTAACAGCATAGGGTAGATCAATATAAAATTATAAATATGTATGTGGTTGTCATTTCTGATAATGTGCTCTTCATTTTGTACTAAATTTTACTCAATAATTTTAAAAAATGACAAGTAACATACAAAAATATCTCATAAAATTTTATTGAAAAACATGTTTGACATTTAATTATTAAATTATTACTGATGTTCCATAGGTAACAATTATTGACGTGTGTGTGTGTGTGTGTGTGTGTGTGTGTGTGTGTGTGTGTGACAACAACTATCAAATTTACTTTCTTAAGTAGGTCTCATCTGAACAAGGTAAGACAGTTCTCCAAACCACATTACATTTCTCAGCAATATAAATCCCATAAACAGGAAACCAGAAGGAAATCTGTAAAAGCCACATAATTCACGGAGGAAGAAAATGTTTGGATGTCTTGTTAGTTTATTATATTTTCTACGGCATTGGTAAATTTAAGATTGCAAACAAAGAATTACACTTTCAAGGCTTTATTAATTATCAATGTCCTCTGTGATCACATCACTACCAGCATTTTATAAGCCAGAAACTTCAGCATTATTGTTAGTTCCTTTTATCTACCCAATTTTGCCAAGAAATCAACAAATTCTATCAATACTACATGTTAATTCCTATGAAATCATTGATATTCAACTATATTTTACAGAGTACACAGGAACTTCATCTGGTTTAAAACTCTCTAGTTCTTTTCATTCCATGATTGCTGTCCTAGTGATTTGTACCGAAACCATGTCCTCCCCGTGTTGTTGAAAAAGCATCTGTCCTAATGGGCTCAACACAAGCACTCTGGTATGCTCTCCAGAAGGTCTCCATCATAAACTCACTATCATGGCCTATAGGGTTTTTAAGCCAATATAAATGCTAACTGTCTCAATTCTGGCTCCCTACTATTTCCCTCCATGCTAACATTAGCCACCATAAATAACCTTTTCCTTAGCTAATTACTATTCATCTTGCAAGTCTGAATTGAAAAGTGATTTCCTCCAGGAAAGCCCTGACCCTTCAGCTCTGGCAAAGGTGCACCATCCACCTGCGCTCTCCAGTTCTTACTGTAGCAGGTATCACACTGTACCTAATGGCTTCTGGGTTCATCAGCGTCCTCCCAATGATGAGCATTTATCAAAGTGATGGCTTTGGAAGAACACACAGACTTCTCACCTTTAGAGTTCCTCACACATTTTTGACACATTAGGCAGCTAGTAAAATATTATCTATTGTGATTAATGCTTTCATTTCCAATACTAGCTTTAATAGTAGTCTAGGAATGTCTACACAAAATAAGTCCACATATTTGATAAACCCCAAAGAATTATATATATAATATATATATATTAGTATGTCCTGTAATTAAATAAATAATTATTGATCATCTGTTATATGATAGGTTCTTTTCTCTGCACTTGGGGTACAGAATAGAATATGACTGTGTTCCTTCCTCATGGAATTTATTTTTTGGTAGGGTTGAGTGGAGAGGGGGGCATTGAAGATACATTTTTTTATCTGGGCTCTCAGCATCTCTAAGTTAATATATATGTCTTTATAATACTACATTTTATAATACTGATTCTATATGCACACTCCTGCTTACTTACAGAGCCATTTTTTGTTGAAAGGCTGGATGGCAGGGTGAAAGAACGGTTGGGTACGTTCAAAATGAGAGAGGAGGCCAGGCTGGTGTGGCTCAGTGGTTGAACGTCCACTTATGTGCTGGGGTCCTGCCCCAGCAGGTCCAGGGGTCCCCAAAGGTGTGGACGGAGTTGGCGAAGAAGGAATGACACGGAGACAGCGTTCAGTTGATCAGCAGCCTTGCCAGGATCTCTAGGCACAATCTCCAGCCAAGTTCTGTGTCTATGCTCTCTTGCTA